ATGTCAAAGTAGTTATAAAATATAGGATGATAATAACTTTTGCAGAAGTGGGAGAGGAATGAGATGGAGGACAGTCAATAGGGAAATAATATTTGAACTGAATAGTAAATACAAGAGTGTTTATTTTTACTTATGTTAAATACTAGAGGCCCGATGCACGAAATTCGGGAGCCCTCCGGGGATGTCCTACTGATGGCTTAGGCCTGCTCCCTGTGGTTCTATGCTGTCTGGGGGGCCCGCTTGGCTGCTCCCAGGTCACCGTGGTGATGGCAAGCAGGCCCTTCTCTCAGCAGCCACCCCCTGGGACTGGAGGACTCCAGCAGGGCTGAGAGGAATGGGCACCACCATTTCGTGGCTATGGGCGCCGCCATCTTTGTGTCAGAGTGATGGTTAATTTGCATATTACTATTTTATTAGATATGATGTTACCTACATTGTAACATATGAATTATTTAATAATAAAACTGCTTAAATTTCATGTTAAATAATATTCATATTAAATTATGCTTTATTCTTTTAATAACTACTTTAATATTGGCTCTCAGAAACCTTGAATCTCAGAATTAGGAGAGATATTAGAGGTAATTTTTCCTAATCATGATTCATAACCAAAGTACCAAAGGGGTTTTTAAAAGTATAGATGGCATGGCTCTCTTGAGATCTTTTTAATCAGCATTCTGCTAAACCAGGTCTTAGGTCAGGGGATTATGGGGTAAAAAGAGTGATGATTGATAGTGTAGTACTCTGTTTTAAAAAACAAACATGCAGCCCTGGCTGGTGTGGCTCAGTTGGTTGAGCCTTATCCTGTGTGCCAAAAGGTCGCCTGTTTGATTCTGGGTTGGGTTGCTGGATAGATCCCAAGTAGGGGCATGTAGGAGTCAGCTAATCTGTTGAGTGTTACGCTCAATGCAGGAGCTGCCCCCTGGTGGTTCCCTCTGCCTTCCTCTCTCTCTGAAATCTGATGATCTCTGATTCTGATGATCAGTCAGTTTTCTAATTCTTCCTCTCCTGCAATATAAGACTTTTTTTCTGTACTATCATAATAAGCAGTCAATCTGTCTCAACTTGTATATTTCCATTGGTAAGAAGCTCATTAAGCAATTCTACTAACATTATGTTTATATTTTTCAAAAGTGTTAGCAATGAGAAAAAATGGGAGGTACTTTTTGTATAGCTCTTAGCATTGTGCCTCATGCCTGGCATGCGGTAAAGACTAGAAATGTTACTATTTCTGTGTTTATTATAATTATAGTTATTGGTGATGATTCAATTTATAATTCCCTGTTATTTCCCAATTGGTCCTAGTTCTACTTTTTGGAGCAACAGAGGACAGTTCCCTTTTCTCTGCTATGGGACTTTTCTTTAAACACTTAAAGAGTCTTATGTCATCTCTGAATTTCCTCTATTTGTTGCAAAATATTAGTAGATCTTACTGTCTGGATCTCAGCTGAGCTGGGGGAAAGAGAGAAGCTCAACTGCCAAGCATTAAGAATAGCTGATTAGGCCTGAGGTGGCCACTGACCGAGGTGGCGAAACCTGCGGGTTTAGTACAATAACTTCATGTGCTAAAGACAAAGGTATAAACTTGGATATTGACGGAAATGAAGAGAAACCTAAGTGAAAATTCAACCCGAAGTACAGCAGATACTGGAGACAGATATGACAGGAAGGAATCAAACTGCCATCACAGAGTTCCTCCTCCAGGGCCTGCCCATGGAGTCAGAGCAGAAAAACCTATTCTTTGCCCTGTTCCTGGTCATGTATGTTACCACCGTCCTGGGGAACCTCCTCATCATTTTCCTGATTCGCCTGGACTCTCAGCTCCACATGCCCCTGTATTTGTTTCTCAGTAGCTTGTCCTTCTCTGACCTCTGCTTCTCCCCTGTCACAATGCCCAAGTTGCTGCAGAACATGCAGAGCCAAGTCCCATCCATCTCCTACACAGGCTGCCTGACCCAGATGTTCTTCTTCATGCTTTTTGGAGACCTGGAGAGCTTCCTCCTTGTGACCATAGCCTATGACCGCTATGTGGCCATCTGCTTCCCCCTGCACTACACCGCCATCATGAGCCCCAAGCTCTGTCTCGCCCTGGTGGCGCTGTCCTGGGTGCTGCCCACTTTGGACGCCCTGTTACACACTCTGCTCATGGCCAGGTTGTGTTTTTGTGCTGGCAATGTAATCCCTCACTTTTTCTGTGACATGTCTGCTCTGCTGAAGCTGTTCTGCTCTGACACTCAAGTCAATGAGTTGGTGATATTTATCATGGAGGGGCTCATTCTTGTTATCCCGTTCCTACTTATCATCCTGTCCTATGCACGAATTGGGTTGTCCATCCTCAAGGTCCCTTCTGCTAGATGTATTTACAAAGCCTTCTCCACTTGTGGCTCCAACCTGGCTGTGGTATCACTGTTCTATGGTACAGTTATTGGCCTGTATTTATGCCCATCAACTGATAATTCTACTTTGAAGGAGATGGTCATAGCTATGATTTACACTATGGTGACACCCATGCTGAATCCCTTCATCTACAGTCTGAGGAACAGAGACATGAAGGGAGCCCTGGGAAACGTGTTTTTCAAAAAGAAAACTTCTTTTTCTGTATGATGGTAAAACTTAGTATTTTTACATACTTTTATTCAGTAGACATATTAAATTTAATACTGGGGTAATAATCCACACTTCCTTTTTTAGTGTTGATGTTTATAAAAGAAATTACATTCTAAACAATTATACAGTAAGTAAAAGAGATGATGAGGAGGTGCATAATTGAACTCAGAAACAGGATCTCAGTGACTTGTTAGCAAAGTCTTCCTTTTTATTATTGCAGGTGATCCTGAAGAAGCATTATTTAAAAACTTTGAACTGATCTATGTGTCTCCAGTTACTAAAGCAATAATTTATCATGTGTTTCTTAACTAAAACTCTGCTTTAAAAATATTTGTTCTCCCAAGTCAATATTCTCACTCTCCTGATTACCTCTGCTAAACTAGACTTTTTTGTTGACTATAAATTCTTAACATATGTCTTCCTCAGCAAGTGTTCACGATGCTCTCTCTTAGGATTGATTTTGCTGTGTCCCAGTGATTTTGAGTTGTTGTCTGATAATTTTCATTTGTTTCCAGCAAGTTTTTTATGTCTTTCTTGATCTTTCTTGTAACCCATTCATTGTTTAATAACATGCTATTTAGCCTCCATGTGTTTGAATGTTTTTCGGTGTTTTTACTGTAGTTGATTTCTAATTTCACTCCACTGTGATCTGAGAACATGCTTGATATGACTTCAATCTCTTGAACTTTTAGAGACTCGTTTTGTGCCCTGATATGTGTTCAATCTTTGTGAATGATCCATGTGCATTTGAGAAGACTGTACATTCTGCCACGTTGGGGTGAAATGTTCTATAAATGTCAATTAAATCCATCTGATTCAGTGTGTCCTAAAAAAGAAATAAAAGAATAGCTGATTAAAGAAACAAGCCAAAAATGAAGGAGTTAAGACTTTCATCCCTTACTGTGATGGTATAAGCAAGAGTCTAAAACCAGAGGAAATGCTAACTCCCTTTGTTTTGATGCAAACATGGCATCCTCACAGTTGAGGGAGTCCAGACCAAAGGGCCTCAGGAGCACTGACCCTGAGGGGTGTGTGTGGGGAGAAGAGGCAAGAGGGAAGGTTCAGGAATGGAAAAGTACTGAGTCAGAGTGGGGCGAAGTATCTTCAAGGTCTTCTGCTCCTCCCTGAGACCCTGAAGGCACCTCAGATAAAGAAACCTAGGAATGAGGCACCAGGGCTGGGAATGTGAATATGTGAAAGAGCACATCGCACCAGGGATCTGAGTTCTTGAATGCATTCTCTCCAGAGACTACAATGCAGTGGCTATGCAGCAAGTCTGATGCAGGGAGGGCAGCTTTCTCCCATGAGAACCGCCATGTAAAGCCTTCAGAATTTCTTGTGGTCAGGTCTGAAAAGCATTCATAGGTTTTTAACCAGGAGCCAGACTCCTCACTTACAACCATGTAGAGTATGATTTGGCATGCATGCCCCTCGACTTTCTGAACAGTCTGTATTGTAGGGCACAACAGCACAGGAAGGGAGTGTATTGTAGTTAACATTCCAAAATCAGGGCACCAGTGAGGTGACAATGCAATCATTAAATCAGCTGAAATTACAGCTGTGCCTCTGAGAATTTATGACTGGCATAGGATTAAGCTAGGCATATCTAAAGACAAGTTTCTCCAGCTGAACTATTAAGTTCTTACTTTGAGGGATCAGGGCATAATTTAATTATTCTTTTTAAAATTTTATTTTTCAATTACAATTGAGATTCAGTATTATTTTGTATTAGTTTCAGGTGTACAGCATAGTAGATAAATAATCATAATACTTTACAAAATGGCCCCCTTCAATATTTCAAAAAACCTCCTGGTTGCACCATACACAGTTTTTACAATATAGTTGACTATGCTAGGGGCCCAGTACACAAATTCGTGCACCTTGAAAGGAACTGTGGGCTGCGATGCTACAGTAGGCACAGGGGGTGGGTCTTGACCCATCCTTCATGTCCCGCCTGGCCCCTCCTTCTACAGCCCTGGACCCCTGTCTGCTGGCAGCCCCATTCCTGCCACTGCCACTCCCACGCACTGATGGCGCCAACCCTGCTCACACCAACTGATGGCTTGGAGCAATTAGGGCCAGTGCCAGCAGCAGGTTCGAGTGGGGTCAGCGCCATCAGCGAGTTTGAGCAGTGGCTGCTGCCCCAATCACCCCTCAGGAGCAGAGGGAGGTGGAAAGCCCTCAGGGGCAATTGTAGCTGGCAGCTGTCACTCGCACCCACTGATGGCGCCAAGTGATCGGGACCAGTGCCAGGCACTGGCAGCAGATGTGTGCGGTAGCTCTGGCACAGCTGCGGGTGTGAGCGGGGATGGTGTGGCAGCAGGTGTGAGTGCTGGGCGGGACTGCTGTGTGTGGAAGCAAAGAATTTTCAGTAACCACCAGAGGCTCACCCCAATGACAGTGACTGGCGCCCCGCCTTGTTCTGGTGCCCCTGCTCACCTGATCCACCATCCTGCCGCTGCCAACGCCCACCATATTCCACACACGCACCATGGTGGTCAGCGCATGTCATAGCGATCGGTTGTTCAAGTTGTTCCTCCTTTTGGTCTATTTGCATATTCGCCTTTTATTATATAGGATTCCCTATACTACAGTATACTGCATTTACTATCATCTGAGATAACAGAATATAATAATATCAATGATGCAGTATTAATGCATAACAGATTGGTTTTGTAGTAAAGTCAAAACTTAAAGGTACCAATAATCATGATGTTGTTATGCTCTTTTCAAAAACTAAAAAATTACCATCCTAAAAATATCTATATATTTCTGTGTTTTTTTGGGAGTCCTCTAATAGTATTTTTTCTTCTCCTTGTGCTACTCATTTACTTGTTCTGCCTAAATTGATCCCCTAAGACTCCTATCCCTCATTCTCCAATCAAATTAAGTGTCCATTTACAGGAATAGAAGTTATTGCCTATAATAGCAAGGGCTTGGTTATTTATTTTTTCATTGGACTTATTCTGAACTCAGTTTTACCTTCTTAAGGCAGTTTTATGTAGCATAACATCCCTAAAAGAAAATAGTGATTGAAATTTTATATTGTCTCTTCAGACATTCAAGTGATTGATAGTTATGAAAGCACGGTCCATAAATCAGTGTTCATGGTATTTAAGGGCTCTATCACCTTGTTTTTACTTCCTAAAGAAAAGCAGATCATTCTCACAGTTCAGCAATAAAGCAGGATTAGGTAATAGGTAAAGGAAATGCCTGTCAGATATGATTCTGTTTAGACCAGACAGTAAATTGTGTTAAAAAGGTATTTGCAGCACTTGTCAACAACTGCAAGGTAAAAATGGGAGTTTTATGGTGTTTCTTTCTAATAGAGTGATTATAAGGACTCAAATCTTACTATGGTCAAACAATAAGATCTGGAAAATTACAACAAAATGAAACTACAAGGAAAAGGCTCTTGGCTTATAAAATTGCTCTGGCAAGAATACAGTTCATGAATGTCAGAAGTCTATAATGTGGTGACCTAGGTTATGTTTATTTGTACTGGGTTTGTTAAAATATAGCCTACTTCTAATAAAAGCTGAGGTATCTGAAGTAGCAAGAATAATTTGGGCCCTAAATAAAAGTTATAACTAAAATTTTTAATCTCACAATATCAGAGAGGGAACATTCACATCCAATGCAATGAGCCAACTTAAAGTAGCAGTGGCACATTATTAATATCGATGGTAGTTATAGTGATGATGGTGACCATTTAGAATTAGAGAAAGTGAGAGGAACCAAGATGGTGGCATAAGTAAACACTGGTACTCACTGCCACCCACAACCACATAAAATTACAACTACCATACAGAACAACCATCATTCAGAATTGCCTGAAATCTGGCTGACTAGAGAAGTAAAAAAGTACATTGAGACTGTTAGGAGGGGTGGAGGATGATCCAACACACACATGTGGCATTTTTTTTAATTGGGAGGAATATCTCTGCTGAAGATGTCTCCCATCAGAAGCAAGGGGTCCCAGCCCAGGGTTCCAGAGCTGGGAATAGGTTGTGGCAGAGTGATGTGGAGGCTACTAGAGACCCAAAGAGTTCCTTTTAAAAGGCCGGCACACAAACTTACATGTCCCATTCCCTCTGAGCTCTAGTGCTGGGCGACAACATTGAGGGATCCAGGGACATACAGGGAGAAACTGGATTGTCTGGCATCAGGGCAGGAACTCCAGGGTGGCTTTCTCTCAGACAGGGGTGCTTGCAGGGGTCATTGTTCCTGTGCTGGGACTTTCCCTGTCACAGAGCTCGCAGCCATATCTGAATTTCCATCAGCATGGCGCATACTGTTTGATCTACTCTGGTGTTTCCCTGAGACCCTTCCCCATCCAATTTACAGCCTCACTTAAGCTGTTTACAGTGGCTTTTCCATATAATGTTCGATATATCCTGGCTTAGCCTTCAGACTTTCCTAAATCTCTCAAACAAGCAGCTCCTGGTATCAGTGTGCCCCATACCTATCAATAAGAGTTCCAAGACCAAGCACTAGCACCAGCCTGCATTTCTTTACAACTTAACCTCACCTGGGCACGTCCAAGCCCAATATAAGTAGCAGCCATCTGCAGATCTCTTTTTAGTTCCTGCTGGGTGGCCCCAAGCAGTGGCTGACTTTTCACCTCCAAGGAGTCCCTAGAGCTAGTGCACCTGGTGGACAGCTTCAGACTATGCCAGATTACAACTCTACACACCCACAAGCAACACACTTAGGGATTAGACTCAGTGAGCACCAAAGACCCACTGAAGTAAGTCCTGCTCCATACGGTGTCTCCTGCACAGCAGCTCTTCCATTATAGACATAGCTGGTCCTCACAGCCAGTTGACCTGGAGGTCAATTCCTCTCAGTAATACCAACAGCAATCAAAGCTCAACTACAAAAAGACTGTGCACACAGCCCATGTAGCAGCACGCCTAGAGTGCTCAGCTCAGGTGACTGGGGAGGTTGATCCACTGGGCCTTCTAGGATACCTACTACACAAGGCCACTCTACCA